GGGCATCACCATGACAGTATTTACTGGTGTTTGCCAACCATGATGACTTAGAAAATAATAACTTGACAACCTGGAGTGAAACGTTTTGATACCCACACCTACCCAGCCTGTAGCCTATAGGCCTACCATACTGGTCTGACCCACACCTACCCAACCTGTAGCCTATAGGCCTACCATACTGGTCTGACCCACACCTACCCAGCCTGTAGCCTATAGGCATACCATACTGGTCTGACCCACACCTACCCAACCTGTAGCCTATAGGCATACCATACTGGTCTGACCCACACCTACCCAACCTGTAGCCTATAGGCCTACCATACTGGTCTGACCCACACCTACCCAACCTGTAGCCTATAGGCCTACCATACTGGTCTGACCCACACCTACCCAACCTGTAGCCTATAGGCCTACCATACTGGTCTGACCCACACCTACCCAACCTGTAGCCTATAGGCCTACCCATACTGGTCTGACCCACACCTACCCAACCTGTAGCCTATAGGCCTACCATACTGGGTCTGACCCACACCTACCCACCTGTAGCCTATAGGCCTACCATACTGGTCTGAACCCACACCTACCCAACCTGTAGCCTATAGGCATACCATACTGCGTCTTGACCCACACCTACCCAACCTGTAGCCTATAGGCCTACCATACTGGTCTTACCCACACCTACCCAGCCTGTAGCCTATAGGCCTACCATACTGGTCTTACCCACACCTACCCAGCCTGTAGCCTATAGGCATACCATACTGGTCTACCCACACCTACCCATCCTGTAGTCCTATAGACCTACCATACTGGTCTTACCTCACACACATACCAGCCTGTAGCCTATAGGCCTACCATACTGGTCTTAACCATCCAATCACACATACGTGCTATAGGCCTACATTGTCCTTCAAACGCATACACATAAAAGCCACAGTGAGGAGTAAAAAGGAGAAGCAGCCTTCTGGTCTATAATCGGGACGCGGCTCTACTCCTCTTGCCTATCCTACTCGTCTCTACACAGTAGCCGCGTCCGACGGCCTACCGGCGCGCGAGTCAGCGCTCTCCGCGAGCTGCCGAGCCGCTCGGCTCCCTGCCTCTCGGCCTGCCGTCGCTGCTGGCGCGCGTCCGCGGCGCGCGCCAGCGCGCCGCGGCGCCGCGCAGCGCGCGCTACCACACCAGCGCGCGCGGCGCGCGACGGGGCGCGCCGGAGCACACAACCGCGCGCTGCGCGCACAGAGCGGCCACACAGAGCGGCGCACATGAGCTCCGTCCGCATCAGTCTCGCGCTCGCGCTCACCAAAGCGACGCCGCGCAGCGCTCTGTCCGCCGCACTCCCGCGCGCCGCAGCCGCTCCCCGCGCTACCTCTCAGCCGCGACGATCCGCTGCTCCACAACAGATCTCGCGCGTCACATTGCTCGCTGGCACACAATCTTCGTCCAGTCTCTCAATATTCGTCTCACACTTCTCTCACCTCCTTCTCCTCTCTCTCCTACTATCTCTCTCTCTCTCTCTCACCTCTCTCTCTCACCTCTCTCTCTCTCTCTCTGTAGGATCTATTTGGTGTGAGTTAACAGACCTGTGTCTCAACTTGTCTTCCCATACCTGTTGACTGTACTCTCAACATATGCTGCTGGTACTGCGTGAGTGTGTGTGTGTGTGTGGTGTGTGTGTGTGTGTGTGTGTGTGTGGTGTGGTGTGTGTGGTGGTGTGTGCTGCTGTACAAGAGTCAGATGTCTTTCTGCTTCTACTTGTCTTCTGCTCTTCAGGGTTTTCCTGCTGCTGTGTTTCTGCCTCTGCATTTCTTCTGCTCTTTGGGGTTTTAGGCTGGGGATCTGTAAAGCACTTTGTGACAACTGCTGAGCTTCCTCCTAAAGAGACTGTTCCTAGTGGGGTTGGAGCAAAAACCTGCACAACTGGTGGTTCTCCAGGACCGGAGTTACAAAAACACTGCTGTAGGCTACCTCTACACACACACACCACACACACACACACACACACACACACACACACACACACACACACACACACACACACACACACCCACACTCCAACTTGACACACTCATGCTTCCAACTCCCCTCTCTTCCCCCACCAGCTTTGTGTTGTGCGTAAAGAGCCGATGTTTTTGCTCTATGGTCTCGTTCAGGGGGTTTTCCGCTGTGGGTCGGTTTCTGCCTTGAAGTGTTCGTCTGATCTTTGGGTACTGAGGATCTTAGCTGTCTGTGCGCTGTTGCTGTCCTCCTGAGACTGTTCCTAGTCGGGTTAGCCCTGCTCTCTGGTCGTCTCTTCTTCTGCTCGATCTCAACCTCTGCTTGGCTAATACTCTCCATCCTCTCACCTCCTCCTCTACATCCTCCTCTGTCACCTCTGCGTCTACACGTCCTCTGTCTGTCTCTCATCTGTCTGCAGTCATCTGTTCCTCTCTCCCGCATCTACCTCTCTGTCCTCTGGTTCTGTCTAGTAGTCTGTCTGTCTCTGACTAAAGTACGCCTATCTATAATGGGCAGTAGAACTCAAATCATAAAAGTGGTACTATCTCATAGTTTCACTTAGTAAGATTTCTTATAACTTAATGTTTTGGAGTACTGTTAACATTAGGCTATTGAGTTAATATAACTTTATTTATTTGTGTTCTGCTAATCTAAAGTTATGAGTTTTTTAAGTTATGATATCACTATTTTTAATGTCAATCTAACATTTATTAAATAAGTTGTTCTTACTTGATTCTATTATGTTTTACATCTTTACTTACAATAATAAAGTAGTAGTCAGACATTGATATTTGAGTATAATTATTACGTTTTTGCAAGTTAAGAATACTTAATAGTGCCACCTGGCTCTGTTTCTAGAGGATTGTGGGTAATATATATATTTTTTTACTTTATGATACTTTTACACAATGTTCTATGCATGTTTGAAGAAAGAATAGTATATTTCTAAAATAGTACTACCCAGTTTGTTGTGTAATTGATCATGATGAATGGATATAAAAACCGTCGGACAAATTGACGTTCAATAATGAGACAAGCCATTTCCACCATCAACAAGGTCATGTGCACCACTCTTAAAGTAAAAATCCACCCAAAACCACTAATTACTATAGTTTACAGTGTTAAATAACAAAAATATGTCAGAACAAATTTTTTTGTGAACAAATGTTTCATTTTGTCGTTATAATAATGTTGGTAGCAACATCTGAAAATCATTGTGGAAATCTTTAGCAGCTACAAAACCCACAGTGCAATGCTCTCTCTATGGGCTGGCTGGCTAGCTAGCTAATGCTAATGCTAATGCTAATGCTAATGCTAATGCTAATGCTAATGCAGCTACACACAACAATACCAAAGTCAATATCAGCATGTGAAAGGTAAAGGGGGATACCTAGTCAGTTGTACAACTGAATGCATTCAACTGAAATGTGTCTTCCAAGTAGCTAGTTAGCTGTAAAATCGCCTAAACAAACTGCACTATCAATTTAGGAGTCTACAATCTCCCCATGTTCGACCTGCAGATCGATGTGCCCCTCAGAGTGGAGTCTGACATTCACAACGGCACCATGCAACGGCACCATGCAATGCATGCTGGACTGAAGAGGCAGACAAATAGGAGAAACGTGCCACACCCTCAGTTAAATTACACATTTCTCGAGGTAGGAATAGCGCAAAAATATGATCAATGGCTCATTTGAGAGAAGACAGCCTCCCACGTTATTACAGCGGACAGTATTGAAATCTGACATGATATACGTTTTCGTGATCTTAAAGTCGTATTCCTATTAACATCCAGTGTAGTGAGACCAGATTTATCGCAATGCTACGTCATACCGGACGAATTCCTGCCCAGGATACACATGAAAACAAGAAATGACCCAGGGAATGGATAGAACATCGTTCAGAGATGCACAAAAACAATACAACATTCAAAATGGGTGACTCTTTCCTTTAATGACAGAGGCTAATGCAGCATCCTGTGACTGCTTACAGCTCTACCTCCAGGTACTGCTAGAGGAATGAGCACTGGGCTCAACAATGACTGGTTACAGCTCTACCTCCAGTTACTGCTAGAGGAATGAGCACTGTGCTCAACAATGACTGGTTACAGCTCTACCTCCAGTTACTGCTAGAGGAATGAGCACTGTGCTCAACAATGACTGGTTACAGCTCTACCTCCAGTTACTGCTAGAGGAATGAGCACTGTGCTCAACAATGGACTGGTTACAGCTCTACCTTCCCAGTTAACTGCTAGAGGATGAGCACTGTGCTCACCAATGACTGGTTACAGCTCTACCTCCAGTTACTGCTAGAGGAATGAGCACTGTTCTCAACAATGACTGGTTACAGCTTCTACCTCCAGTTACTGCTAGAGGAATGAGCACTGTGCTCAACAATGACTGGTTACAGCTCTACCTCCAGTTACTGCTAAGGAATGAGCACTGTGCTCAACAATGACTGGTTACAGCTCTACCTCCAGTTACTGCTAGAGGAATGAGCACTGTGCTCAACAATGACTGGTTACAGCTCTACCTCCAGTTACTGCTAGAGGAATGAGCACTGTGCTCAACAATGACTGGCTTACAGCTCTACCTC